AAGCTTCAGGGCACAGTTAGAGTGCCAGGCCCCTGTTCCTTCTGTGTGACATCAATGCACTGTAAGAGAGGCCCTGATTCTGTACCTCGGCTGTTGTGAGAAGACTGCACAGCAGGACAGGGGGCTCACGGGGAAAGCTTGAGAAGCCACCTTTCAGCACCCACCACAGGCAGTGCACCCCTAAAATATGTGTGCCCAGGGCCACCACAGTGACTGACAGCATCAGAGTTAGGTGGGCTCCTGGCAGGGTCCACGGAGAGAATGGGGTGTCTCCACAGGTGACGCAGTGCTCCCATGCACTGAGCAAGGATTACAAGGCACAGCCTGAGATCCTGACCCTCTCCTCTTTCCTGCACTTCTGTGCCCTCTTGAAGTTCAGAGTCTTCTCCTAAAGGAGACACTTGGCTGAGTGTAGCTTTTCCCAAAACAGCCAAAGGAGAAGGCAGAGATGACCATCACCCCATTACATGATCATTTAGTGATGGGAGAGCACTTGCCCTCAAAATGGAAGACTACCTCTCAGTCCCCCCTCCTTAGCATGATGATAATCCAGGCTTTCCTCCAGCCACCTACATATACCCTCAGGCTTTCTCTCTTCCTGCTCCAGATCTGCCTTCCTGTCTGAGCCCAGCTCTGCTTTTGCCACCCCCAGTCCTGGTGGTTAGAGAATATAAATCATAATGAAAACTGTGGGTTTGAATGCCTTCGGGGTGAGAAGAACATTGGATCCAGGTGCTTCCCAATGCTAAGCAAGAATGCCAGCCATTATGTTTATTCCCAGTGGCAAGCAGAAATGCCACCAATAAGGGTCATATTCTTATGACGGCAGCTGCAGTGCTTTGTGGTGAACTCAGACTATGCGTACAGGCAAAAATAGGGTGGAAACTGGTGGATTTCAGGTTTCTTTGTGCTAGAAGTCTAGATTGTGAGGGAGTTTGCATGTGCCTACTTTCTCAGTGCATTCCCTTCATTTCCTGAATGCCTAGGGAATACAGGTACGTAGATTCAGGCTGTGCCGAAGAGAATATATTTTGGATTGCTTTCTGGAGGTAAGGCACCTACATTTCACCAAAATCCAGTTTTAAGCACTCTGACTCTTACTGGAAGTTGCTAGTAAAAGAGACACACAAGAGCTTTATGTCACAATAGCAATGAAGTGTCTTGGTTTATTGGGATAGGAATTAGAAATGGCATTAAATGGAATTTTAAATGAATCCAAGCTAAACATGGGAAGACAAATATTGTCATTCTTCCAGTGTGAGTCAAATTGTGTGCTTCATGCCTGGTTTTAAGCCTTGGAGCTTAGGTGTTAAAGGCAAAGGTATATACTGCCCCAGGAGAGTCCAGCAAATCCCTTTTTCTAAAAGGTAGTTCATATAACAACCTAATTTAGCCTAATTCTGCTGCCTTGAATCCCAAGAGTTTATTTTGCTTGCTGCATATTTCCAAACTGGGAAAAGACTCAGAAGACAATATGAAAAAAGCTTTTCCATGTGACAGCACCTCTCTGTGTTAAAGCCTAGGCGTGTACACAAAGATCTGTGGCATATTTAGTGTACTGTGGCTCAGGGAACTGTATCTTTCAAGGGATCTCCCAAGATTAAGGCTCAAAACATACTACGTGACCTTGGGAAAAGCACTTCATCTTTCTCTGGCTAGGTCTATTGTATAAATTAAACCCTGCCAGGGGATGTTCCAGGGCACTGGAATTCAATCCTCTATAAACTGTTGACATAATCCTTGGCATCAGTTTTGCTGAAGCCAACTGGCCGTGTCCCAAACACTTCCCCGCACAGCTCAGGAGTCAGTGCAACCCAAGGCTGTTCCCAGCAGACATGCAGAAGGCAGCCACTCCGTTTTGGAGGGAAACACAGTGAACACAGGCCGCTCCATGCCAGTCAGCCTCTGTGCTCAACAGCGAGCCTGCGCATGTTTTGTTGACTACTATAAACACAACTGATGAACCTAAAATGCATTACTTTACAGCTCTTTGTGATTTAAGGATGCAACTACCGTTATAATCCTTGCAGACATATAACCGTAATGCCCATAAGATTATCTGAGCGAAAGTAAAGGCATCTTTCCTCTCTTGGAGTACCATATAGGGAATAGCTGCCAGAAAACACATCCTATAGGAAGCTCAGGCTCACACCTACAAGTAATGCCTGCCAGAAAAAAAAATAAAGTAGCATGGTGGCCTACAGGGGCAAGACTTCTAATTTCCTGGTCTTCTAAGTGCAGGAGGAAAGATGTTTATGCATTGCTCCCCGCCCTGTGAGAGAGCAGGGTGGCCTTGTCCATGTCCAGAGATCCTTTGCATTCACAGGCAGCCTCTATCCTGCTGGATAACCTTGCCACGGCCATAGGAGCCAGGCCACCTGTGCTTGCATGATGGATGTTAACAGGCTACCTGTGCTTGTGTGATGGATGCACTTTCAGCACTAGAACAGCTTTGAGCCAAGCATCCTCACTTCCAAAAAGGGCTCAACTGGAAAGCACTTGGTGATACCGCAGATCTGCTCTAGAGGCCAGTGAAAAATAACCTGGAATTAATGCAAGAGGAATGGTAAGACGGTAAAAGCAGAGAGAAAGCACACTCCTCCTTCCAGAGCCACTGCTTCCCCTCATCCTTGCAAGCACGCTGGAGCTCCTCACCCTGCCTGAGCCTTTCACTTGCAAACATTTTGCTTACTGATCCTTCCAGATGCACAAACAACTGGCATCCCCTCCAACTGCTTTGGACTTCAGCAGGTTAGGAGCTGAGTTCAAAAAACAAGTCATATTTCACCCACCACATTTCAGCCCTCAATGAAAGGTATGGAATGGGATGCTGGAGCTTTGTAACAACTCATACCAGCATTAACTGCCAGTCTCCACAGTCGAGGACACTTTTTGGCCAAATGGACACACAAATGATTGCCAACGCTAAGCCTCTTCTGTTTGCTTGTCCTGAATCAGCAGGCTCCATCACTTCCCCACACTCTTCCTGACAAACAGAATAGAATTGGTTACTCTCCAAACAGAATAAATTGGTTTAAATTGATTTAAATTTGTGCAACTTTATATGTATGTGGTCTTTCTAATAAAAATTCATACATATATTTGCTTACTAATGTAGGATAACATGCTGTACAGTACGATACTGATACATTCAGGGGGAAAAACCCTATTTTGGAAATGAGCTATTCTGAGACTTTTGTTCACAGCAGCTTACACACAATTTCCTTCAGAGCTGTTAGCCCACACCTCTACACATGCTCTGTGTGCAGGTGCATTATAGCCCACAGCTAGGGCTGTTTTGTATCTAATACTTCCTGTGTAAAAAACCAATAGAAAATAGAACATTTTGGAAGAAACCATTCTCTGACAAAGGGAGGCACTCAGCTATGTCGTCACCTGGTAAACAGTTGCCATTTTACAGAGGGCAAGTGTTTGCAAGAGGCTTTTATCCTGAAATCATGGCCTCCACATAGATGAGCCTGTGGTTTTCATCATCCCCTGCTCTCTCATCTCATTTCTGAATGAAGGAAATAAAATATACTTGTACACTTGGAAGGACCAACTTCCAAGGAAACATTACAGTTGCAGAGAAGACAGAATGGTTCAGCCAGTAGAGAACTGATGGGTTCGCTGTAGCAGTATCACGCCTCTCTTCTCTCCTGATGGCAATACAGAGGTAAATAATGACCCTGCAAAAGACTAGTTTTGGCACTAGCTTTGTATAAAAGATGAGGATCCTTCACTGCTCTCAGTAATTATTAAATTGGATGGATTATTAGCTACTAGGCTACAGTTTTTAAAGCATTCTTTTGGCCAAGTGCCCCTGCAGACTATCATGAATTGTCCAACTCCAAACCCCTCTTCTGCTCACTGTTCCCAAAGCTGCAACTTCCTACAGCATTTACAAACAGCTGCACTTTTTAGAAAGGCAGAAATGCTCTCAAATTTAGCTACCTTTGGCAACATCTGTCTCGGGTGTTAATAGGACACCAGACACAGCCTCTCCCACCTCGCAAATGGAATTGCTTTTGACTGACAGAGCTTGAATCTACGCCCCTGACTCAGCTCGTTCCACAGCCAAACCACTGCGCAGGTACATAAAATACATGTCCAGTTGGCACTAGCTCACTCCTGCAGCTTATGGTACCTGCCCTTCAGATTTCCCAAAGAAGAGTAAAGATGAGTAACCCCTGGTTCACACTATTCAAGGCCTCTTTTTTTTTCTTGTTTTAATCCTGAGTCCA